TCATCTCGATGTAAAATCAATCCAAGCTGGAGTTTTCTTATATATAAGAACACATTTTAAAACACTACATGCCCGTTACAAGAATGGGGAAAGATGGCAAGCATCAGATAAGTCCAGATGTTCTAAAAGTCAGTTAACATACAGTTATATCTCTCCCATCTTGGTAACGTTTATTTTGCAGCTCCAACGCTATAGTTCATTGTCAGCGTGTTTGCCATGCATGTGTACTCTTCACATAAATTCGTATTCTTCTTTGCAATAGATGACAATTAAAAAGTAATAGCACACTGCTTTTGAGCGATACTATAGAGTTGCCTCAAACATAAAAGTCAAAATTATTTTCTGTTTAGACAGTTCGTTGATGGTAATTTTACTTATATAGAATTTATAGTGTTTTCGTATGGCAGTGATATCAACAAGTTTAAATCCATCTAAGTTAAACGTTACCCACATTGAAGTTCAAGAAATTCCAAATAATATAATAATAGGCTAAACCAAAAATCTTCTTCTCCGGTATTCGGTCCATGTTTTGGTTCAGCGTAGACTTCTTCCTCCCTCTCTGGAATTGTTATTTTGTTTGCACTATCCTTAAAAATGCTTTACATTTGTAGCAGATTTTGAAGGAGGCCACCATTGATAAGGTTAACAGAAAGGAATATAAAAATTTCACAGTACAGTTCCTTTGATGGAATAACCAGCATATTGGCTAAATTCAAAATTATCAGCTATCAGTTAGGGCATTATTGTTTAAGACGTTGGTAAAAGTCAATATATATATATATATATATGTGTGTGTGTGTGTGTGTGTGTGTTAAAAGATACAATAGAATTCCATGTTCTGTCAGCGATTTCAAATGACGCATATCTACTGCCAGAACATCAGAATTATCAGCTGCTATTGTTCTTAAAGCTATAGCTACAAACTAGTCCAACAAAGATGCAATAAAACCCTGAATTCTGTCACCAGTTTCAAACGACATATATCCTCCGAAATCAAATAACATTATGCAATAAATATTGATATCATCTACAATGATGTATTTTACTTATTGAACTGTTCCAAAAATTAATAGCTTTATTTAAAATGGTGAAGCTGCCTGCAGAAATATGTTATATATGTAGTCATAGCTTGTCTATACAATTTTAAACAGATATGTTAGGGTGATGTTTCAAAGTTATAGCGTAAAACGGTCTTTTGTCTGTTGTATAACGGATATGTCATCCTAGTTTGCCTAGCAGAACATCACGTACAAACAACTGATGACCGTTTTCAACATTGAATGCGATTCATAATGCCTTCATGGGAACAACATGCCATTGAACTACAGATATATATATAGGAACAACATGTCATTGAACTACAGATATACATGGGAACAACATGTCATTGAATTACAGATATACATGGGAACAACATACCATTGAATTACAGATATATATATGGGAACAGCATAACATGACATTGAACTACAGATATACATGGGAACACCATGACATTGAACTACAGATATACATGGGAACAACATGTCATTGAACTACAGATATATATATAGGAACAACATGACATTGAACTACAGATATACATGGGAACAACATGCCATTGAATTACAGATATATATATAGGAACAACATGACATTGAACTACAGATATACATGGGAACACCATGACATTGAACTACAGATATACATGGGAACAACATGCCATTGAACTACAGATATACATGGGAACAACATACCATTGAATTACAGATATATATATGGGAACAGCATGACATGACATTAAACTACAGATATACGTCTCTACAAATTTGCTTAATGGTACTGTGGTTTTTAAGCTTGAGGATGAAGGAGTACAAGTACAAGATTATTATTATTATTAAACTCAGTAATGCAATAATTCCTACCAGAAGAGTAAATTATACGATATTAATTTCAGTTAATATTAAATAGTTTTAATTATGCTGATTGTTTTATTATGGTTGATAGAGAATTTTAATATATTCTAATTCTATAGGTCTAATGTTTCAAACCGACTAAACCGTTAGATTAGCCTCAGACAAAAGTTTCCAAATCAGACTACTCTCATTTGATTAACAGTATATTAAAAAACTCTTTCCAAAGATTAATAATTGGGTCCTAAACGTCCATTAAGTAATAACGTTTAGCAACAGGATTTTTAATGGTTTACAGCACTTGTGACTTATAACGTGATATAAACAAATGAATTGGATGAAATTATTTAAAGAATTTCCAGATAGTTATTTCAACTTTCACCAGAGGACTGTTTTCTTATATCATAAATTATAATATAGTAAATATACGATTTTTGTACTTGTAAAATATAAGCACACGAAACAATCACCATAAAAAGAAACCAGATATCCCTATATTTCATTAATTTTCATTGAACGGAATCTCATAAGAAACTGATTCCGCTGTCATTTGTTTCAGAAATTTATTTGTTGAATTTTGAGCAACATATTACTCTAGTTTTACGCTCTTTTTATAACATAAATATATCTTGTTACCTGTAGCTAGTCGTTTGTGTATTTCAAGTTTTACGCTCTTTTTATAACATAAATATATCTTGTTACCAGTAGCTAGTCGTTTGTGTATTTCAAGTTTTACGCTCTTTTTATAACATAAATATATCTTGTTAC